TTCAAGCTCAAAAACCCAATTTCTTAGATCTATTAAAAATTAACTCAATATCATTCAACTCTGAACTACCAAAACTTATAAATCTTTCATTTTCTTTTGGCAGCGCGATGCCTCCTCGTCCAAACCTAAGGCCCAGACCGGGCACGACACCACCTCCACCATCAACGTATGATCCGACCATGGTCCAAGCTGCTATCACAGCAGCAGTAACTGCAGCCCTCTCGCAAATAAACTCCAACGGAAATGGAGGGGCAGGTAGCAGCACAAATCATTCAAATCATGGCACTGGTCGTGGTCAAGTAAGAGAATGTACATACAAGGAGTTCTCTAACGCTAAGCCAAAAACTTTTAATGGAATTGGAGGAGTCATTGCGCTAATGCAATGGTTCGAAAAGACCGAAACAGTTTTTGAGATCTGCTCATGCCAAGAAGCAAGCAAGGTTAAATTCTCTACTTGCACCTTCATAGATCGAGCCCTCACTTGGTGGAAAAGCCATGTGAATTCGGTGACGCTCACTGTCACCAACGCCATGAGTTGGGAGGATCTGAAGGTTCTACTACTGGAAGAATACTGCCCAAGAGGCGAAGTGCAAAATTGAGCAGGAGCTCTGGAATCTGAAAATGACTGGGTCTGACCTAGTCGCCTACACAGCTAGGTTCAACGACCTCGCTGCATTGTGCCCTACCATGGTCAACCCATAATCAAAGAAGGTTGAAAGGTACATTTGGGGGTTGTCACCCCAGATTCAAGGGCATGTCCTAGCTTCCAACCCTATTACCTACAACAGCGCTAAACGCCTGGCTCAGTGACTCATCGACCACGAAGTAAAACAGGGTACCATTGCAGCAACCGCCAATCCATCTAAGGAGACTCAGGGCTAGAGTAGGCCTTGGAACAAGAGGAGGGGACAAACTCTTCAGGAGAACCCCAAGAAACAACAAGTAGTAGTGACCCACGCTATGACTGTACCTGCCAACCCTGCCCCCACAACTCATATAATGGGAAACTTCCTAAGTGCAACCAATGCAAATTCCACCACCACGGTCCTTGCCATGATCTTCAATGCACCAGGTGCAATAAGAAGGGACATACAGACCACTATTGCAAAGAGCCAACCCAACCATCCGCCCCCACTGCTAATACCGGAGTAAGCCGTGCCTACTTTGAGTGCGGAGACATGGGGCACTACCGCAGGGACTGCCCAAAGGCAAACAACCAGAATACCGACGGAAGGGGTCGACTTTTCACAATGGGACAAGATGAAGCCATTGCGGACCCTATTGTTGTTACAGGTACGTTTCTTCTCGATAACTCATATGCATGCATTTTGTTTGATAGTGGAGCGGAAAGGAGTTTTGTGAGTCACGACTTTAAAGGCCTGCTAAAATCAATACCACAATCATTAAGTGAACCATTCATAGTAGAAATGGCCAACGGGAATACCGAAGACACTAAGGAGATATACTTAAACTGCACCCTAACTTTAAACGATAATCCCTTTTCAATCAGCCTCATGCCAGTCTCGATTAAGAGTTTCGATGTCATCGTTGGCATGGATTGGCTGAGTTCTCATCATGCGGACATTTTATGTTACGATAAGGCCGTTCGCCTTAATCTGCCAACCGGCAAAACTTTCATTGTCTTGGGCGACAAACCCAGCACCACTCTTCGTATCATCTCAAGTATCCAAGCTCAGAAATGCCTACGCAAGGAGTGTCACGCGTTTTTGGCACATGTTGTAGATATGAAACGCGAACTCCAGGACGTCAAGAATGTGCCTGACGTATGCGATTTTCCCGACGTTTTTCCCGAGGACCTTCCGGGAATACCTCCCGCGAGACAAGTCGAGTTCAAAATCGATCTGGTTCCCGGAGCTACCCCAGTAGCTAAAGCACCCTATCGATTAGCCCCGGCAGAGATGCAAGAGCTATCCAGCCAACTGAATGAGCTACTTGGAAAAGGATTCATCAGGCCGAGCTTCTCACCATGGGGAGCACCCATGTTGTTCGTGAAAAAGAAGGATGGATCATTCAGAATGTGCATCGACTACCAAGAACTCAACAAACTTACCATCAAGAACCGATACCCCTACCCCGAATCGATGACTTATTCGACCAACTCCAAGGAGCCAACTACTTCTCCAAGATCGATCTGAGGTCGGGATATCACCAGCTGCGAGTCCTGGAGAGTGATGTTCCCAAGACGGCCTTCCGAACGAGATACGAACATTACGAGTTCGTAGTAATGCCGTTCGGACTAACCAATGCCCCGGCTGTATTCATGGATCTAATGAATCGGGTATGTCATCCATTCTTGGATAAATTTATGATAGTATTCATAGA